TGGCTTCTCATTGCTCTTTCCTTATGGCGTTTTCGTGTCTACCAAAAACTGTTGCCTTTTGATTGCCCCTCTCTCTTTTCGCATTGGATTCTAAGATAATGGCAAACGATAAGAAAATGTTTGTGCTCGTTTCTTAAAATGTCAGACACTTGCACCGCAAAATAGGCACATTCTCTGCCCTTAGAAGTTTTGTCAGCGGAGAAGGTTGCTCTGGTTGTCATGAAAGTTCCAGATGCATATAGATATTATATATTTTTATTTCAAGTAAATCTGAAAGGACTCAATTGATGAAGTTAGGCTAGCTGGCATGCAATTCCAAATATAAGAGCTGTAGTTGGCAGAAATAATCTAATGCTATTTAAAATAAAATAAATATTTTGCGCTTACACTTTTTTTTCTAAGTGTATGGGCAGACTTCTTATCCAAACTAAGCTCATTAAAGCTCATTAAAGTGTCATATCAACATTTAGCTTGAACATTTTCAGTTCATCATTTAATTTCTTTCAATTATATTTTTTAATTTATATTATTTAAGTACTGACGTATATATTAAAATATGGTAGTTTAGCTACTTAGTAAAATAACATAGATAATATGCAGTTAAAAAAATAATAATTAGGTATTAATTGTGTGTGGTTGTATGTATTATTGTTAAAAAGAAAGCAAATAAAATAAAAATAAATATTATTGAATTAGCTGCTAATAACTAAAGTATATGTATGTATGCCTACACACTGACTAAGCCAATAAATAAATTTAAATATTAAGTAACCAAATTATGAAATTTAAAAGTGAAATGCAAAAAAAGCATAAGCAGTTTTCGGTAACAACAAATAAAATAAATTTAACAAATAAAAAACCAAGCTTGTGAAGTAAGTAGATGACTTATTTTTTCATTCAAATTAACGTGCAAAACAATTTTCTTTTAAATGACCGACGAAGAGCTGTGCTCAACTTTTTCAAAGTGCTAAAAATATACGAAAAAGTTCTTACCGGCCTTTGGAGGCACTTATTTTTGATAGTATTTTCTGTAGAAGCCACTTTGTAAATTCAGGTTTTATATTGGTGAAATTTTAGATTTCTCAACTGACATTCTGACATTCCGCACCATAACCGACGACGACCCACAAGTACTACGGGTAGTTACCGTTTGTTTGTTAAACCAATCGCCTGAGTTGTCAACAGTACTACTCTTACACGAACAAACCTCAAAGCCCAAAATAATTTAAAAAATGTGTCACAGGGTAATGTCCATTTCCGTTATTGTTAAACTTTTAAATAAATCTCGGAGCTTCCCCAGCCAACAGAGGGAGTTTTATTGATATCCGATGAAGACGATTGTTCGTTATTGGCGTCCGGTAGTGGCATTAATCAACTATGTTTCAAAGTAAATGTAAAGAAAACTTACCCTAACCCCTACGAAATCTACGTGAACTCCTTACACCGCCTATACGAAGAAGTTCAACCGACAATTAAGAACCCACGTCAAAGACCTGCCAATACTGGTGGTTAATATTCCTAAATAAGATCCTAAATCGGACTACTCGCCTGTAGCACTTGGGGCAGAGGCAAAGGGAGGTTGTTGGCAAAATACAAAGCAATCGGTCGGCGGGTCTAAATTACGCTGCTCCTTTTTGGTTAACGGGTACTAATAAAATGCTGTGGATGGAGCTTCAGGCTTGTCAGAATATCGCCCTCTTTGACAGGATTCCTTCCGACGTTGCCCGAACATCACATGCATAGCGAGGCCTCAATGCCGTTAGGGAAAACTATTTTCACCACCGCAGTATGTATTCTATCCGAAAATTGATGAAATCAGCAGCACCTCAGAGGCACATTAGAAGGCATATCTACAAACTAACAACGAAGAACCACTGAACCCGACATTGTACCGAGAAGACATAAACGACTTTCATCGAGATTCAATGAAATTCTCACTCTGTGGATGCCGCCATCACAGTTAATACACCATCCATCGCAGACTTTAGCTGTCTGAAGAGACCCACGCACCTAAAGTCTTGATACTGCAATACCGGCATACTTAACATACATATGTATGTCCGGCCTTATTGCTTGTCCCGTCGGAAAGCACAATTTGTAGGCCTGGCATTAGTTGAGCTTGACGACAATGATTGATAGACTAACCGAGAGAGTGGGCTCAAGTCAACTCAGCGAACGTTGTGGGAAAACTAAATCATGAGCGACGGTCTAGGGATCTCCCTAAGTGCTAAGCCGGATCTGACTGGCCACTGTCCTATCTGGATTCACGCTCTTTTGTCACAGCTGCATGAAGGACGGTGAAGTAAAATCATCTTAACACTTCCTCAAAAACTTTTGTCGGATTCCGGCTTAGGCACTTGGGTTCGTAATTTCTAACTAGTCCGAGGGACTTCTCCTCCTGCGAAACTTCATTCTCGGCACGCATTCTCGCTTTAACTTAACAATTACCGTTTGCGGCGGTATCACAAAGAACGAACGTTCGCTGTCTAAGTGAGTCTGTTGACAAGGCACAATCACACAATGATAACTGCGCACACAATGAGACTGCATGCCCTGTGGAAGGGAAGACCGTTCGGGCACGGTTCCATCCTTGACGCAATACCGTCTGAAATTAAAGCGCTGCCCACTGACTATATCCTGTCGAAGACCTGGGTTCACCATAAACCCCGCACGGAATTCCCAAGCCGCAGTGACTGGAATCAGGAAAATTTCGGGTTCTGGCAGGGCTTAAATGTCTTCACGGATGGGTCAAAGACGGAATACGGATTTGGTGCTGGGGTTTTCATTGAGCAATATAGCCTAAAGTTATCCTTCCGCCTACCAGACTATGGAAGCGTTTTCCAGGCCCAAACGTTTGTGGTTAAGGTGGCAATAAGGTGAGCATCCTCTCGAATAGCCAAGCGGCTATTCAGGCACCTTCTTCTACCTCTGTTAGATCTCAGCTAGTGGATGAATGTAAGGGAGAGCTGGCCTATATTTCTTATCAATACGAAATTACCCTAATATCAATTCTCCCTTATCGGGTATTTTCAACAATTTGCTATTTGGCATGGCCGCTTTAAATTAATCGCATGTTTTAAAAAGTGTTTGATCCAAATCTCTTAAGTTTCTATTTTTTGCCAATTTAAAGAATTTATTGCAAAAATTTTACTTCCTGTATACATATAATTTATTTCAACGCAATGTAGCCCACTAAAGATGACGACTTGACGAAACATCGCACTTGAGTGGCTCATTAAATAGTTAATGCAAATTTTATGTTGCGCTTGAAAATATATTGAGTCTTATTGTGTATTTTCGCATAAAAAAGTTTCAATTCTTAAACACTTACATACTATTCATCGCACAAGAAACAAGAAAAGAAAACAGAGCATCCATACATAAAAATGCGCATTTGAAATGCAACCGGTCAAAAATAGCCATACATTAATAGTCCAAAAATATAACCGGTCAATAAATTCTTCACCAAATTAATTGTACAGCGTTATTTCATAAATTTAATTTGCAACTCAAAGCGAATTGCAAAACTGTAGCTGGTTTGTGCTCTTCTCTTTATTGAGTACATGTTTATGTACTGTATAAGGGGCGTTCCATACCAAAATGGACGGGGTTCACCACTCTTCATGTGTTTGATTTGTTTAAAATGTTTAGGGTTGATGGATAAACATAAATAATAAATAAATATAAAATTTGAGCTTGATTAATATATTTTTAAAAACTTTACAGCACAGAAACAAAAAAAAATCGGGTTAATAGTTTTCCAAATATCTCAAGAACGGGGCGAGGAAAAAATTTGAAAAAATCATACATACACACATCAAAATTTTCCATGAAAATAAAGCCTTTTTAAATTTTTTTTCTTGAAAATTTTTTCAAAACAAATTTTTTGGTAAAAAAAAAATTAGTTTTGGAAAATATGCCATCTCAAAAAAAAATAAAAAAGAAATTACATTGGTAGCTCTGAGTATTGCGTAATATTTAAGTATAGTATTTTGGGGTGCACTCTATGAGTGCAAATTTACAAATTTTTTAAATTGTTTTAGAATTTTTTTGAGTAACTATGCAGTTTTAATTTTAGTACAATAAAGTGCGAGTTTTAAGCTACTGCAAAAATGCGTTGATTTTTAATATTTTTTATGTTGGCGACTTTTTGCACTTTTTTCTTACGGAAGAAAATGCGCAAACCGTTTTCAAAGAAAAATTAACGCCAGTTTTGCAATCGCTTAACACTTGCACTGTGTTAAAATTTAATGGGCTACAAAACTGCATAGTTACTCAAAAAAAATCTAAAAAAATAAACGTAAAAAATTTGTAAATTTATAATGTACTCATTTTTCTCAACTTCGGTGTAAAAAAAAATTTATAACTCAAATTATAGTAGAGTTCACCCCATAATACTATACTTAAATATTACGCAATACTCAGAGCTACCATTGCGATTTTTTTTTTTATTTTTTTTTGAGATGGCATATTTTCAAAAACTAATTTTTTGTATCAAAAAATTTGTATGTCAAATATTTTTCAAGAAGAAAAATTTAACTAATATTTTTTTTTTCATAGAGAATTTTGATGTGTGTACATATATGTGATTTTTTTAAATTTTTTCTTCGCCCCGTTCTCGAGGTTTTCCGTTCTCGTCCATTTTGGTATGGAACGCCCCATAAACAAACTAAATCGCCACTTCCTAGACGCAGAATATTAAAATTTCTTCGCTAAATATGCTAAGCTCATAATACTCGTATGCTAAATTTGCACTCTCGCTATTTTGACAATCGTTCTTAATCTCTGGATGGCTGGGCTCTCCATACAATATTGAATTTTCTTATAAAAGGCAACAAGCGCAGTTAAATCTTACTCAATTAGTTCGTGCTCATAGTTGTGATAACAATTAACGTGAAATTGTACATAAATAGACCAAAACTTTAGGCGTACTAAGGAGTAACAAACGAATAAAACTACATACATACGTACATACGTACATACATATTTTGTTTTCAACAATGAAGTTAATATTGAGCATAATGGTGCTTTATGGATTAATAGCCATCCATCTCGCAGCGCCGCTTGACGATTCTGCACACGCGCGCATTCTGTTTTACGATAATGACAACATTGGTCTTGATGGATATGATTTTAGGTGAGTTGGTGGGTTTGTGATACAAAAAAAAAAAAAAAAAATTTCTATAAAACATTTTATTTAGAAATGTGAAGCTTGCATTAAATAAGAAAAGTACATATCGCGCGCGAAAAAAAACTTTAAAGTCTCGATTTAGTTATAGAAAGGTATAGAAAAATTATCTGCTCATTTGCAACATTGCGGTGGCAATGGAATCAGTCCGAATAGCCACGCAATAATCAACAATAGCGTCACCCTACCGGCCTCTTGTTTTTATGTTTTTCTAAATTTTGCCCTCGAAGCCGAAGGTAACACAAAGCATCGTTTAAAATCTTTTCACGTTAGATTTGACGATTTTGAACTTTTAAGTCCTTGTTCAATTTAAAATTTCACTAAGCGACATTCGTGCAACATCTCAGACATTCCCGTACAGACTCGATGCTATTGTCAGCGCAAAAGGTGGCTATTTGGAACAGTAATAAATTTTTCATAAACCCTGACTAGTTCTTATGATGAACTGATATTTTTGAATTAAACAAAAGAAAAACAGACAAAATTATAGCGTTTTTAATTGGCAACACTTCGAGTGTCTACCCCCCCGTATATGCATACATTAGGGTGGTCCAAAAATGCATGTGAAAACTAAAGTCTGAATTTTAATACTTTCACCACTTATGATGGTTCTATACCGAAAAAATATACCGCTATTTTTTATTTTGAAATCAAAAAGTATTTAGCGGTCGCTCAAAGCGCTCAAAGTTTTCCATGTGTCTTATATGGGAAATAACACACTTTTCGTAGAAATGGTATAGAATCTTGAAAATCAATATTTTTCGTTAGGAAAACTCTGTTCCTCTTCAGGATATTCACAATAATAATACCTAATTATTTATTTAACCATTTTTTTCATAGTGACTATATTTTACATATCCGCTAATACCCCGAGAAAATGCAATGGGAGAATAAAAATCTTTAGTATTAAAAAATGGTTAAATAAGCAATTGGGTATTGTTGTTGTTGGAAGTCTCCTGAAGAGAACCAGAGTTTTCCGATCGAAAAATATTGGTTTTCAATAATTCTATATAATTACTGCGAAAATATTTCCCCCTGCCCCAGCCCCCCCATGTAAAATACATGGAAAATTTTGAGGGCTTTGAGCGACCTCTAAATATTTTTTGTTTTAAATAAAAAATAGAGGTATATTTCTTTTGATATAGAACAATCCTAGAGGGTGAGACATTCAAATTCCCACTTTACATGTTTTGCACCACCCTAATATACATACATACATATAATAGGAATAACGCGGTATAACCTGGGGTCTGGCCGATATAAGAAACCAGTGAGGAGTAGACTGAACACGGAAGCAAGTTGGACGCAAAAATACTGTGGGCTATTTTTTGAAGCGCACTGAACTGTTAATATTCATACTAGGATCACTTGTTCAGCCTAGGCTTAACTGATTTTCCCTATCGGGCTTAAGTCTGGCCATTTTGGCCCGTGCTTACAGGTTTACCCTATCGTAAAAAAGCTGGACAAAACTACATGGTTTGTCCCAAAATCGGGTTCAGTCGGTAAAAGATATAATAAAAATATAAAAACTGGACGTGCTTTCATTATAACATTTGCATGTCTCACAAGTCCCATAACTGAAATAACAAAAAAAGAAAAAGAATTAATTCCAAAATACTGCGGTCCAAATATTTTAAATGAATGCAACAAAGTGTCGTAATCACAAAAATATGAAACACGTTACCCGTTCGGAATACAAATTTCCTAAAGCGTGTTGCTTAATGGGGTCATTTAACAGTTAATATTGAATGAAATACAAATATATGTATATTTAACTCGTTTGCTTAACGTACTAACAGGTAAAAGAAAACAAGTTTTTTTATGCTCCTTTTGCCGATAAGGAAGTAATTACCCATCTTAGAAGAAATAATAACCTTCTAAGTAAATAATTGCATATATTTTATTCCGTGCCTCGTGCATTGCTTAATCAGCCTTCTTATTGCATTTTTTAGGTTTTTTATTGTGGTAATTATTTTGTTATTAGGTACCTTATTTTTCTGTATGCCTAGGCTAATTTTACTAATATTTCATAATTTTTATTTTAGCTTTGAGACCAGTGATGGTATTAAACGCGATGAAAGTGCGGAACTGGTGGACACGGGCACAGGGGAAAAAATATGGAGAGTAGAGGGTTATTACAGTTGGACAGCACCCGATGGAAAACAGTACAGAGTGGATTTCGTTGCCGATGAGAACGGCTACAGGCCAACGGGTGCTCATTTGCCATAAGTTGATAAATTTTATTAAAAAAAAAAACAAAAACTACCAATTGGTGTTTCCTGTACCTAGCATAGATTAGAAAGTAAAATGTACTAGAATATAAATTCCTTTTAACAATATTTATCTAAGGTGAAATGCTTAAGACTAATGAAGGTATAATTACCGATCTGTGCAAGTGAAACGTGCGGTGCTGTTTGCTCAAAAGGTCGTCAAATTACCCCTGAAAACAGTAATGCTATAATGCTATACCATTACGGCGACAAAGTAGACCAAGCAAAATCTGTTATTTTGGCAGGAAATCGACAAAAATTAATGAGTAAATAGACACCAATCGAAATGAATGGGCCGAATCAAATAAGAAAAAAGTTGGATACAGTCCGCAAACTCTAGCTGCCAGAAGGATAGAAAGAAAAAACGTTTTCGGGAGAAGAATATCCGCCATGATTAGAGCGATGATTTATTTAGGGATTTTAAAACAAACAAGCTGTCAGACTGGTCCAAGCCATAAACTAACTTAGTTCCATGTATACATAAAGGAAGAGGATGTTCCATATGATAAGATAGTTTAACTCAAACCATTGAAGCGAAGATAATCGTAGAAAGGGCATTGGCCATAGTAGAGCCAAAACGACAATCTGATCGAAACGTGTAGGATGAAATGAAGCCAACACTTAAAATGTATCCAAATATAAAAAAAAAACAATACTCGGTAATGTCTGGATTTAAGACAATACTGGCAGGAATTGGCTGAAAGTTGCTCTTAACGGCACATAAAGTACATAAAGGGCGCTTGAATGGCATACCAAATGTTTTGCGAAGTAGTTACTGCACGCCTCTCTTGAACAGGCGGTTTATGAGTGTATCTATTGTTTTTGTTTGTACTATAATAAAATGTACATACATATGTACCTACTATCTATAATTCATGTTACTGTAAAATATTTTTAATTTGTAACACAAAAAAAATAATATTTATTTATAAGTATTTTTACTAATTTCTACTAATATTGACAAATCTAAGCAAATGTCATAATTTGTGAAAGGTATTGCCAGAACATTATAGATACATACATACTATCTTAAACTTAAACACATTCCAATAAATAAAAAAAAACCAAACCAAATAGTTAAACAAAATATAACCGACATCAATCCGTTAAAATGATCCAAAGTTATGCACACGTACTGTTTATGTGTTCATAATAAATAAGTACCCGGTTGACCGAGCTTTGCCCGGAGGGCATATACTTTTTAAAGTTTTCAAGGTTTGGATACCAAATACTGGTCATTTGGATAGCTTTAAAAAATATTTTTGAAACAAATAAAAAAAAAATGGATTTCGATATCTATTAAGTAATTTTCTTACTCCAAAATTTAGTTGGCAGCCCTAGGCCGAAGTACATATCTTGAGCGTATATCGATGGCTGAGTGGAAGATCGACCTATCTCGGCTGCCAGTTCGAAAACGCTCTATCTCAAAAAACTTTTCAAGGACGCCCTATTTCAGAATTTTATTGAAAAACACCCTATCTCAAAATTCGGTTCAAAAACGCCCTATCTCACTTCAAAATGTATTGAAAATATGCTGATATAGGGCGTTTTTGAATCGGCAGCTGAGATAAGGCGTTTTTGAAACGAATTCTGAAATAGGGCGTTCTTGAAAAGTTTTTTGAGATAGAATGTTTTCGAACTGGCTGCCGAGATAGGTCGATCTTCCACTCAGCCATCGATAT